ACTGAGAACGAGGGAACACAGCCGGAGCTGAGTCCGGAGGAGGAAACGTAGGACCGAACACAGGAGGAGAGGAGGGGAGACCAAGAGTCCGGAGGCCAATAACAGGGGGCTCCGACTGTTGCAGCTGCTGCAGCAGCTGCTGCTGCTGCTGCTGCTGCTGCTGCTGCGGCGGCGGCGGCTGCTGCTGCTGCTGCTGCTGCTGCTCTCGCTGCAACTCCAACCTCTCACTCTCCACCCGCTGCTGAACCTCCAACCTCTCACTCTCCACACGCTGCTGCTCCTCGCGCGCAAGACGAAGACGGGCCTGGTGTCGAGTCGGGTAGGGGTGAGGAGGAGGAGTGGTGTCAGGAGACGACGAAGAAGAACCGGCTCCACCCTCGACAGGACCCGGCTGAGCACCCCCAGAGCGAGTACCCCCTGCGGCAGCACGACCAGTACCTGTAGGAGGTGTACCCGCACCCCCAGTCGTGGTGCCTCCAGTGGCACCAGCACCAGCCCCAGACTCTCCAGCTCCAGAAACACCACCAGCTCCAGCACCACCACCAGCTCCAGCACCCTCGGAACGGGCAGCCGCGGCAGGTGCACGCTCAGCGCCAACGCCAACACCCCCAGAACGGGCGTCTCCTAAAGGTGCACGAACAGCTCTGACGCCAGCACCCCCAGAACAAGCACCGCCAAAGCCCTCACCTCGAGCACCAACACCCTCAGAGTCCGCAGTGGCCGGTAAAGGAAGCGCTGACGGCTGCTGCGGAGGCTGTGAGGATGACTGTGGGGAAGGAGGAGAGACCTGGGGGGGTACCGAGGGAGGGGGAGTAGCGTGGGACACACCAGACGGAGCGGGAACAGGGGGGGGTACCGGAGGAGCAGGGGCGGGAGGAGGAGGAGCTGGAGCCAGGAAGAGGGGAGGGGGGGAAACTGGGAGACCTCGGCAAGGGTACCTGACGTAGTAGGGGATGGACTCGTTGAAACGGACGTCACGAGAGTCAAAGAACCGGTGGGAGGGAGGGTGGTAAAAGGTGAAGTCAGAGGAGTCCTCTGGGAAACCAAGGAAGACACAGGGGACGGCGCGAGGTGAGATCTTGTCCGCAGAGGTGTCGCGGACAAGAGCCAAGCAGCCCCAGACACTAAACCTCGACGCAACACCGGCGGACCCTGTCCAAAGACTGGTCGGTGAAGCCCCTGGCCGAGAGACGCGAGGCCAGAGGTTCAGCTGGTGAGCGGCGTACCGAGCCGCGTAGGGGCACAGACAATGGGGCGTGCGGGTGTGGATCATGGAGGTGCACGCGATCTCCATGACGAGGCCTACGCGACGCTTAGCAACCCCATTCTGCTGTGGAGAGTCTGGAAGAGTCCAGGACTGGGTGATGCCCTGCTCAGCACAGAATCTGGCGAGAATGCCGGAGCGAAACTCACCCCCACGGTCGGAGTGGAGACAACTGACACGACGACCTCGAGTACCCTCGGTGGCGAGCAGCCACCGGATCAGCGTAGAAGTCACGTCGGACTTCTTCGCCAAAGGGAACACGGTGGTGTACCGAGAGTAATCGTCAACGACCACCAGAAAGAAACTCTCCCGCTCAGGGCCAAGGCGGGGAGCGGGGCCCCAGACGTCTAAGTGTAGTGTCCAGAAGGGCTCGGTGGCTGGACGAAGGGAGGAGGAGTGAGGGGTGGCGCGCAGCCGACCCTGGACACAAGGACCGCACGGAGGAGCTGGGGACGGCGGGAGCGGCGGGAGGACTCGGGGGAGGCCTAAGACAAGACGCTGACTGGACATAGCGCGGAGACGAGGGAGGGACGGGTGACCAAGGCGGTGGTGCCAGAGGAGGGAGGGGTGGGCAAGCGACCGACACGAGCACGACGCAGCAACTACACCTGACACAGCAACCTGACTGGACCCGGCTACCTGGTGGGACGGAGGAACCTGACGGGGGTCGGTGCGGAGGGTGTACAGACCGGAGCCCGGCTCCTGGCGAAAAGTGGCCAAGGGGGCATGCGTGTCACCGTCCACACAGACTGCAGTGTCACCAGAAGGCTCAACCCAGACCCCGACGTGCTGTCTCGCCAGGGTGCCCACACCAACCAGGTTCCTAGAGAACCTCCGTGCTAGGACGTTCTCGTGGTAGGGAACTGGAGGGGCCGTGGTGCAAGCGGTAGAGGTCGTCGAGACGACTGAAGCAGCGTGCAGCAGAGTGGTCGGGGCGGCCACAGTACGAGGACCCGTAAGGATCCAGTACTCACAGGGACCAATGTTGCGGCCGGCCGAGCGCGGTCCCCGACTGGAGGGGGCGCCACTGCGCCCAGTGCTCGGGGGACCCGCAGACCTCCACTGCTGCTGAGGGCCCCACTGCTGCGGCGGGCCCCACTGCTAAGGCTGCTGCTATGGTGGGCGCTGCTGCTTTTGTCCCTGCCGCTGCTGCTGTCCAGGCGGTGGCAGCTGCTGAGAAGTCGGCTGCTGCTGCTGCTGGAACCCCTCACCACCAGTGAAAACTCCACCGTCGAGAGGAGGGCCGTCAGGGCCCGAGCCACCCCCACCACCACTCCCACCACCTGCTCCACCGCCACCGCCACTACCCGCACCACCCCAAGTACCCCCGCCGCCCTTTCCGCCCTTCTTGCCGGCCTTGCCACGTTTCTGTCCTCTAGAGATAGAAACAGCCGCCGTCTCCTCAGAGGCAGAAGACGTGGGGGTGGCAAGTGAGGCAGTGAAGGTGGGAAGCTGTGGTACCGCACACCCCTCAAAAAGACGAGGAGGAGGCGCGGAAGAGGCAGAGGCAACAGTGAGGAGGTTACTCTCGATCTTCGAGAGAGCGGTCTCAAGAAGATCGATGGTAAGCTCAGTGGGGTGCTTCAGAAGAAGCGCGTCGCGGGCTGTGGCTAGGCGGTCAGGGAGGCGAGTGACTAGCCAGTGAATAGTGAGCCACATAGGGGGCGGGGCAAGGGCAAGCTGGTCCTCAGTGCAAGCAGCGCGAAAGCGAGCGTCAAGAGAGCGCAGGTGGGTAGCGAGGTCAGAGACAGTCTCAAAGGAGGCGAGGTCAGGGTAGATAAAGGGTACGAGGAGGCGACTGAGCGAAGCAGAGGAGGGAGTGGAGTAGCGAGCAACAATAGCCTTATATAGATCTGCAGCAGACTCGACCTGAGCGAAGTGGACTGCCTCTGTCGGCGGGAGAAGGTCGGTCAGGGCGAGGCAGGCAGCGGCGTCACGAGACTCCCACACGTCACGAGCGAGGATCTGGCGTTGGTAGTCGGCCTCCTGCTCAGAAGTAGGCGGTGGGGTAGTGGGCAGCGGCCGAGGCTGCGGAGGGGCGGTCTGAGTGCCGGACGCGTGTGCGAACAGGTGCTGCTGGCTCTTAAGGTGACGTTACGCCTGCGTAAGCCACGTACTAAAATCAATCGGTCTCCCCTCAGGGTCAAAACGAAGTACTCGGGAGGTCGCCATAGGGGGCGAAACTGAGAGAGCGCGGCTGCCAGCCGCGGGAGGGGGGAAACAATCAGTAACGTGTGGGCAGGCGGGGAGGCATGCAGGTGGGTAGGTGGGCGGTGCAGTGCGCTGGCTGGTGGGCGGCGCGGCGCGCTATGGGGCGTGCGGCGCGACGTACTGGGTGGCGGGCTGCGCAGCTGGTCGACGGGAGGGCGACGCGGCGCGCGGGCCTACGGGCGGCGCGGCGGGTCGACGGGCGGGCTTCGTGGCGAGGCGACGGGTGGGCTAGGCGACGGGCGGGCCTACTGGCGGGCTAGGCGACGGGCGGGCCTACGGGCGGGCTAGGTGACGGGCGGGCCTACGGCCGGGCTGCGCGGTTAGGCGACGCGACTCGCGGGCCTACGGGCGGCGCGACGCGCTGGCCTACGGGCGGGTGGCGCGGTGGCTAGGGGACAGGCCGCGCTGCAGGTCGACCGGCGGCGTGGCGCGTTAGGGGGCAGCTGGCTGGCTGGCTGGCGGCTTAGGGCTTAGCGCGCTGGCGTGTCTGGCGAGCTAGGGAAGGAACTAAACCCTAAACCTAGGGCCTAGGAGCGAGGAACCTAGCTGATACCATCTCAGAAAGTAGCTACAGCGGAATGAGTTGCATTGGATGGATTGGGGTACATATTCCTACCTCTAACTGTTTGTACCCCCTATTGCACAACCCACTAATGGCTAGAACATTTGACAGGGGTATCACAGTAAAATCTAACAGCAAAAATGTTTCGTTATATGCTATATTTCTCAACAGTACGAAGCTGACCCGAGACTCCAGGTACGTTTTGAAAATAGCCAGAGCCTTAGTGCGTTGTCGCGCCATTTATATGCTTTACACAATTGTCATACATACTTTGTGTTTTCCCATGTTAAGTTTCACTCAACGTAAGTTACCGAGCTCAATATCCAGCACTTTAACGAGTACACGTCATGTCCCAAGCGGCTGTGATTTGACTGGTGTCGCTTTGACGGTGGCATGACTGAAAATCAGGTGAAGAAGCTTCGACGTGTCGGCAGTGAAGGTATTTCTCAGCCCAGGATCTTCGCGGGGCTGTCGGTAGAGCGAAAACATTTTTGCAGGCTCATTTCAGTAAGCTCTCTCTACCAAAATTGGCGACCAGGAGGGGTTTGGGCAATGAAAAAGTTCTGGAAGCGTACTAATTTCGTCAACGGTCAGGAGTTGGACCTCTCTCCCAATTCCCAGTTTCTAGGTGCCTTCGTCGTGAACCATCAAATCACGGCAGGGGAGACTGCCAAACGGAATTTGGGTTGGAAGCAGAGCGCCCTTCTGGCCACAGAGCCTGCTTCACATTTCGTGACTTCGCTATCTGGAGGCAAATGCTGGCTGCTTGGTTTTGATGAGAAGGGCGCTTTTCACGGCTATCATTGCATTCGACACGATCAGCGGGCTTTCAATCAGCTACCACTTTCCGTCCTTCGATGCTAGCAATTCGCACCGAGCTTCTCCTGAACCGCACTTCACCTTTCTTCCATGTCTTGCATTGCGAACGTTGCTCCCCCTTTGCCCGTCCCCCGACTCGCTCCTATGTCGCCCCTCGACTGCCGCCATCATCGAAGCGCCCTCTGCGGCTCCGCGCTCCCCTCGTTCGTCTCGGCTGACGAGACGCATGCTCCGGATCGCGCGATCGATGTGTTAGGCTCTTCGCCATGCCCGCTCCGCCGCCACTCGCTTCCGCCGCTCGTCCTGCGAGGCCCATCCGTGCCGCCCCTCGACTCCACCGCTCGCTCCTGCCCCGCGCCACCCCCCGCTTCCCCGCCTTCCCCCACTGCTGCTGGCATGGCGTGCAGAGTCAATACGACAGGCTCAGCAGTGCCTGGGGCGCCGGTAGTGCTGTCGCATGCCACCACGCACGCGCCTAGCGCGGCCGTACCGGGTTGCGCCGCCAATAGCGGTTCGCCTCACGGCTGTGGACGCGAAGCGTCGTGCGCGGCATGCGCGTGGCGACTGCGGCTGCGCGCGCTGCTGGCGTCTGCCACGGCGAGGGCGCCGGGAGGCGGAGAAGGCAAGGGGCAAGGGCCGGCGGTAGCTGCGCGCGGGCCGCACGGCGAAGTGCGGCTGCCGCTGGGGGAGGAGCAGCAGCGACAGGCGGTGGCTCCACTGCCGTGCAACGGACCATGCGACGGCGGCGCTGCGTGTGGCGCACAGGGTCAAGACAAGCCGTCGGAGCAGGAGCAGCGAGCGCGAGAGCAGGGGAAGGAGGGCGCGGTTGTAGCCGCGCATGATGGAGCACCCCGCATGGCAGCGTCGTGTGGCAGCACCTCTCCCCAGCGGGAGTGCGCAGGTGCAGGGGATGAGCAGCGGGCAGGCAGGGGCGACGAGTGGGCCGCTCACGGCATGGGCGTCGCTCAGGTGAGCGCCGCTGTGCGCACCTTACACCGCTCTCGTGCTCTTCAGCTTTCCCCCCCCCAACTTGCTTCTGTGCTGCTCGCACTAGGCCACGCTCTCTCCCATGGCTTCCTCTCGTTCGTCTCTCCCATGCTGTCCCCGTGCGCCCCTCGCCCTGTCCCGCCACGTGTCTGCCGCCCTCTCTCATACCCCACTCCACTCGCCCGTCCCCCCGCCCCGCCCTCGCCATGCACTGCCGCAGGCGCCAGCAGCGGTGCTGGTACAGCGGGACAGCGAGGCAAGGCGAGCAGCAGCAGAGGCGGCAGGCGAGGAGAGCCCGCCGTGCGTGGTGCTGCCGCTGGGCGTCAGCCCTGAACTGCTGCTCGCCTCACCCATACTGCCGCCCTCTCATGTGCGCCACGTCTCCCCACTCTCGCCATCCCTCCTCCCCCATCAATCCCCCCCCTCTTTCCCCACCCTTTGCCCTCCCCCCTTTTTCTTGAATTTATCTCACGCTCACATACACAATAATTTACTGCCCCTTCTTTCCAGTCTGCTTGTCCCATGTCTCACGCACTCGCCTTGGCATGCATTTCTCATGCCGACTATTCCACATGGCCTGCGTCAGTTAGAAGCATTGGGCGTACAATCACCTCCGCTGCCCTCCTCTCGCCCTGCAGCGCGCCTTCTGCCTCGCCACCTCGTCAGCATCGGGCCACGCGGCTCCAGGAGCTGCCTCGCGACAGGGCACTCACGCGCAGCACCCGCGTGCACCTGCGCCCTCTCCCTCTGCGCGCACCAGCGCCCCTTGGCCCCAGCAGCAGCATGCCCCACACCTGCCCTCCCAAGTGCGTGTGCACGCCAGCAGGGCGGAAGAGGTGGGGGCGAGCGCGGGGAGGGAGGATGGCGGTGGGGCATTTGGGAGGGAAGGCGCAGGAGTGGACGAGGGTAAACCGCAGGGGATGCAAGAGCAGGCGGGTGGCGATGGGAGAGCAGGTGGTGGGAGCGCGGTGGGGATGCACACTCACACTGGGGCTGCCATGGACACACGCTGCAAGGAAGGGGCAACAGTGGCCATAGGCAGAGGGCTGAAACGTTTGCGGAGGGAGGAGAGAAGGACGAAGGGGGAGGGCAAAGCGCGTGAAAGGAGAGCGTCCAAGGCATGCAGCAAGAGGTGAGGAGTGGGAGTTTGAGGTGATACGGCCGGCGGGTTGAAAGGCTGTCTTATTACATTTGTACATGTCTGCGCCTGTACTTTATGACTATCAAATGGCAGAGAGGGCAGATTGCAGAGAGCGTTGGTTGATGAAGTTTGTGTGCGTTGGTTGTCTGTGGCGTGGCGTGCTGTTCCTGTGCAGGCATTGTGCACCACCCGCATTGCCCTCCCACCCATGCTCAATCGCTGCTGTGGACGGCTCGCAGCAGCAGCAAGAACCGGGTGGGGAGAGGCAGAGCGAAGGGCAAGGGAGTGAGGGGCAGGGTGCGAAAGTGGTGGTGCGCGTGGCACGTGAGGAGGAGGCGGTGGAGGATGGGTACCGGTGGCGCAAGTACGGACAGAAGGTGGTGCGCGGCAACACATACCCTCGGTGAGACTTGCCATGTCATCATGCCACCTCCTTCATGCCACCTCCTTCATGCCACCTCCTTCATGCCACCTCCGTGTTACCATTCTCTTTCTGACGCCACCCAGCCCCCCCTCGCCCCCTGGCACCCGTCCCTCCCTGGGTAAGCACCACTGAGCAGTGCTTTCCCCGTGCCTCTCCTCCATTGCTCGTCCCCTGTCGTCCATCTCAGGAGTTACTTCAAGTGCAGCCATCCGGGATGTGTGGTACGCAAGCATGTGGAGCGATCGAGCCACCCACCCTTTGACGTGGTAACCACGTACGAGGGCCGGCACAACCACGAGCTGCCAGCAGCGAAGCCAGGCCACGTGTACATGTGCTTTGAGGGGGAGGGGGTGTTCACTGTGTCGGCTGTGCCTGTGAAGGGTGTTGCTGCAAGCAGGGCTAAGAGCAGTGGATATGGGGGGAATTAGAGTGCACGTGTTTTCAAGATACCACTTGGGGCACTTTGTGTTTGTAATGCCACGCCATAGTGTGCTCTGCCTTTTCTCAGGCTTCACCATCCTCACCCTCCACAGCAGCAAGGAGCTCGTGTTGCTCCAAAAAGCTCCATGTGTGTGATTTCTGATCACGCTCATGCACCTCAATGGGAGTCTCCTGCTGTTGCTGCCCTCCAAGAGTGACCACAGAATCTGTCCTTCCTTGCCTACTGATTCCCGAGTGTGACATGTCCTTACTGCTGAACAACAGTTACCGTAGCTGGTTCTGTTTCACAGGAGTGGCAGCACGCTTGCGCTGTTATGGTACAACCCACGGTGTCTATGGTAAATGAGCATGTGCTGTAGGCCAAGAACCTTGTCCTATGGATGGCAGAAGCCAAATGTATCTCATAGTATCAGTTCACGCTGGTGGTTACCATATGTCCATCAAGCAACGAACCATCATCCACCTGGTGCAAAAATTCGACTCGTGATGCTCGTGTCTAACAATAACTTAAAGGCACCCCTCAATGAAGTTGCTACCGTAAGAACAACTGAAGGGCCACCATAGGTACCCAATTGCATGCATTCAGTGCTTCAGGCCTGCCCATTGCAAGAGTGGGTGAGAGATGAGGGGTAAGCTAAGGAGAAAAGGGTGAAAAAGGCAGGGCAGGCTAAGGAAACAGTAATTGCAGAGCAAGGACGGAAAGAAGGGGTTGAGAGGGGACAGGGGAGAGTGATGGAGAAGTTCCACACAAGTGAAATTTACTGATCCAGAAATAGAGGGGCGCATTTCATCAGCTGCCACACAAGTGAGTGAGTACAAAGGCACATGCATAGCAGGCGACTCCATTGCAGGAAGCATTAGACAGGAGGCAGAAGTTCAGCAGCAGAGCCTGTACCATAGCACTTGCATCGAACGAGTCTAACAGCAGGAGCCCCCCACATCACGTGGCAGCTCAATGGGCGTCATAAGTAAATGGCATAGCTGCCCTGGTTTACTCTTGCCAGACTTGCCAATGCGTGTCTCGTAAGGCAGCGGAATTAGTGCGTGTCAGTGGACATGGCAGCTCTATGGAAGAGAGCAACCCCGCCTGCTGCATCCACTGCCTCTCTCACCTCCCTCCTACCACTCCCTACTTCACCTTCACCTCCCTCCTACCACTCCCTACTTCACCTTCACCTCCCTCCTACCACTCCCTACTTCACCTTCACCTCCCTCCTGAGGCCCACCATACCACTCACCTTGTCACTGTTCATCCCACTCCTCTTCCCGCTGGTCCTGCCGGGGCACGTGAGCTTGTGGGAGGGCCAGTGCGCCTTTTGGCACTCTCTGCTGCAATACGCCACCTTGCCACACCCGCCACACCTCCTCTGCCCTTCCACACCCTGCAGCACCACACAGACGTCCCCCCATAGACAGAGAACCAGAGCCTTGTGCGTGTGAAGTGGGCACTGTGTTTGAAACGGCTCTTGCAGCAATGCTTGGTGCAGCGAGAGTGGATGCAGCGGCACAAGGGGTGGCGCAGCGGCAGAAGGGGGTGGTGCAGCGGCACAAGGGGGTGGCGCAGCGGCACAAGGGGGTGGCGCAGCGGCAGAAGGGGGTGGTGCAGCGGCAGAAGGGGGTGGTGCAGCGGCAGAAGGGGGTGGTGCAGCGGCAGAAGGGGTGGTGCAGCGGCAGAGCTCCTTGAATCAGCAACGGACGCTGCAGCAGGGCTGCTCACAGCAGCTGCAGTGGAAGCAGCAGTAGCAGCGGCCGTGCTTGGCGCTGCAGCAGAGGAGTTCACAGCAGCAGGATGGGTGGGAAGGTCAGCAGGAGTAAGAGAGGCAGCAGGATGAGAAGGCACAGCAGCAGTAGGGTGGGCGGAAGGCTCAGCAGGGGAGGCAGGGCGGTAGCACGGCTCCCCCAGCAGCATCTCTCGCAGACATGCCACCAGATTGACTCCTCCCGGCCATGGCTTGAGATAGGCCGGCTCCTCCCCTTTCTTTTCCTTGCGCTTGCTGCAGATAGCAGCAAGGGCAATGGCAGGGCCATCAGAGTGCTTCATGTCTTCGCGGAACCTGGGAATGGCGGACCACTCAGACACCTGCATCACCCTCTCTGCGTGCTCGCTCGCACCATACTCCCTTGACTGGCTGCCAGTGCACGCAGGCGTGCCAGCCCCCGGACCAGCAGCCGGCAGCATGGCCACGTGGAACCACAACTGCACCTCCTCCCACACATCCCCGCCATCACATTCACTCCTCCCACACATCCCCGCCATCACATTCACTCCTCCCACACATCCCCGCCATCACATTCACTCCTCCCACACATCCCCGCCATCACATTCACTCCTCCCACACATCCCCGCCATCACATTCACTCCTCCCACACATCCCCGCCATCACATTCACTCCTCCCACACATCCCCGCCATCACATTCACTCCTCCCACACATCCCCGCCATCACATTCACTCCTCCCACACATCCCCGCCATCACATTCACTCCTCCCACACATCCCCGCCATCACATTCACTCCTCCCACACATCCCCGCCATCACATTCACTCCTCCCACACATCCCCGCCATCACATTCACTCCTCCCACACATCCCCGCCATCACATTCACTCCTCCCACACATCCCCGCCATCACATTCACTCCTCCCACACATCCCCGCCATCACATTCACTCCTCCCACACATCCCCGCCATCACATTCACTCCTCCCACACATCCCCGCCATCACATTCACTCCTCCCACACATCCCCGCCATCACATTCACTCCTCCCACACATCCCCGCCATCACATTCACTCCTCCCACACATCCCCGCCATCACATTCACTCCTCCCACACATCCCCGCCATCACATTCACTCCTCCCACACATCCCCGCCATCACATTCACTCCTCCCACACATCCCCGCCATCACATCACTCCTCCCACACATCCCCGCCATCACATTCACTCCTCCCACACATCCCCGCCATCACATTCACTCCTCCCACACATCCCCGCCATCACATTCACTCCTCCCACACATCCCCGCCATCACAGTCACTCCTCCCACACATCCCCGCCATCACAGTCACTCCTCCCACACATCCCCGCCATCACATTCACTCCTCCCACACATCCCCGCCATCACATTCACTCCTCCCACACATCCCCGCCATCACATTCACTCCTCCACACATCCCCGCCATCACATTCACTCCTCCCACACATCCCCCCCGCCATCACATTCACTCCTCCCACACATCCCCGCCATCACATTCACTCCTCCCACACATCCCCGCCATCACATTCACTCCTCCCACTCATCCCCGCCATCACATTCACTCCTCCCACACATCCCCGCCATCACATTCACTCCTCCCACACATCCCCGCCATCACATTCACTCCTCCCACACATCCCCGCCATCACATTCACTCCTCCCACACATCCCCGCCATCACATTCACTCCTCCCACACATCCCCGCCATCACATTCACTCCTCCCACACATCCCCGCCATCACATTCACTCCTCCCACACATCCCCGCCATCACATTCACTCCTCCCACACATCCCCGCCATCACATTCACTCCTCCCACACATCCCCGCCATCACATTCACTCCTCCCACACATCCCCGCCATCACATTCACTCCTCCCACACATCCCCGCCATCACATTCACTCCTCCCACACATCCCCGCCATCACATTCACTCCTCCCACACATCCCCGCCATCACATTCACTCCTCCCACACATCCCCGCCATCACATTCACTCCTCCCACACATCCCCGCCATCACATTCACTCCTCCCACACATCCCCGCCATCACATTCACTCCTCCCACACATCCCCGCCATCACATTCACTCCTCCCACACATCCCCGCCATCACATTCACTCCTCCCACACATCCCCGCCATCACATTCACTCCTCCCACACATCCCCGCCATCACATTCACTCCTCCCACACATCCCCGCCATCACATTCACTCCTCCCACACATCCCCGCCATCACATTCACTCCTCCCACACATCCCCGCCATCACATTCACTCCTCCCACACATCCCCGCCATCACATTCACTCCTCCCACACATCCCCGCCATCACATTCACTCCTCCCACACATCCCCGCCCACATTCACTCCTCCCCAACATCCCCGCCATCACATTCACTCCTCCCACACATCCCCGCCATCACATTCACTCCTCCCACACATCCCCGCCATCACATTCACTCCTCCCACACATCCCCGCCATCACATTCACTCCTCCCACACATCCCCGCCATCACATTCACTCCTCCCACACATCCCCATCCCGCCATCACATTCACTCCTCCCACACATCCCCGCCATCACATTCACTCCTCCCACACATCCCCGCCATCACATTCACTCCTCCCACACATCCCCGCCATCACATTCACTCCTCCCACACATCCCCGCCATCACATTCACTCCTCCCACACATCCCCGCCATCACATTCACTCCTCCCACACATCCCCGCCATCACATTCACTCCTCCCACACACCTCCCCGCCATCACATTCACTCCTCCCACACATCCCCGCCATCACATTCACTCCTCCCACACATCCCCCCATCACATTCACTCCTCCCACACATCCCCGCCATCACATTCACTCCTCCCACACATCCCCGCCATCACATTCACTCCTCCCACACATCCCCGCCATCACATTCACTCCTCCCACACATCCCCGCCATCACATTCACTCCTCCACACATCCCCGCCATCACATTCACTCCTCCCACACATCCCCGCCATCACATTCACTCCTCCCACACATCCCCGCCATCACATTCACTCCTCCCACACATCCCCGCCATCACATTCACTCCTCCCACACCATCCCCGCCATCACATTCACTCCTCCCACACATCCCGCCATCACATTCACTCCTCCCACACATCCCCGCCATCACATTCACTCCTCCCACACATCCCCGCCATCACATTCACTCCTCCCACATCCCCGCCAT